GGTAGGGCCCGTTCTCCCGTTTCCCTTTTGTTCAGCTGAATTAACTTGTTTACTCCTGCATTCACGAGCCCAATGATTTCCCTTCTTGCATTTTGGACATAAGCCAGGAGCTCTAGATCTCTTTTTTTGATCATTGCCTACAAGTTTTGGACAGGCCCTCTTTACATGTCCTATCTGACCACAATTAAAACATTTTAAAGACTGTTCCTTTTTAGATTGCCAATTAGTCCACGTGGTTGCCATGGTCTCAGCAAACAGTTGCATTTTCCTAGATTCTGAATTTAAATCTTTACATTGTTTTATAAAATTGTCAATCGTTCCAGTATCTTTTATTGGAATTAAAGCCCTTTTGCATTCATCATTAGCATTTTCAAAAGCTAACATTTTTAAGAGATGCTCTTGTAAGTCTTGTCCCACTACTGTTTTTTCTATAACATTTTGAAGTCTTGCAACGAACTCAACATACGGTTCATTGGCTCCTTGCAGAACTTTAGCCCAAGATCCATATTCTGATCCTTTAGGCCGTATTTTATCCCAAGCTTTTAAAGCAATATCTTTTAATTGAGCATGAATCTCTCTTGGAGCTCCTGCCTGATGCTCAACAGTATCAAAGAAACCTGTACCAGAGAGCATGGGATAAGAAAGGAGTCTAATATTCGGATCTCGATCGTCAGCATTTTGTCTTGCCTTTTCCGCACAACCTTCCATAAACCACATGTGCCACTGTAAATATTCTGGCTCCTTTAAAAGAATTTTGGCCAAGGCTTTCCAATCATAAGGAGCAAGATTACCATAGTGATCTGCTACCGATGTTATTAATTCTCTAGTGTAATGAGCCTGAGGGCCATAAAGGGTTACAGCCTTTTTTAATTTTGCTAAATCATCCATATTAAATGCTTCCCATCTAGGGGGAACTGCCTCTCCATCTATTGGCTGAGGTCTGATTACAGGGAAAGCAAAGGCAGGCTTTTCCTCATCAGAATCCCCTAATTTTGGTAAATCAGCCAAAGCTAGCTTGGCTTTACTCCAATTAGGGTTAGATGGAGGAGGTGCAGAGGGAACTATAGGCGGGTTTTGCTTAACGGAGAGTTGTTTCACCTCTTGTGTTAAATGTTGTATAGCCTGTAAAATTGGGCGATTGTCATAATTTGATATTGCTGCGGCAGCTAAAGCTGAGTCGGCTGTAGTGGATTTTACTTTTAGTTTGGACGCCTTTTCACTACTTAAAGCGATAGCGTCATTTTGAACTACATTCTGCTCCTCCTCTGTGAGGGGCAATTCCTGAATAACTGGCTTAATTTCTAGTTGAAGATTTTCTATAATATGTTCATCTTCCATAGCTTTTAATAAAGAGTACACAACCGACCAAATAGCCCAAAAACGTAAAGGAATCTTTTCCTCCTGTTGCATAGCCCTTTCTATACTAACCCTTGCCTTCCTCCATACTTCTACATCCAAAGTTCCTTCATCTGGAAACCAAGGATTATATTCTTTAATTGTATCAATACACCTATCCAAGTCAGCTGACCTGAGCGATATGCCATATATAGATAATAAATGTTTAAGAATTTTTAAGAAAGGAGAGGAAGCAGATTGTCCCATTTCCCCGTAATAAAATTATACTTACCTTCCTAAGCGACCTTCGGAGTCCCTGAATTCGGGCGCCACTTGTCGTGAGTGTCTAGAGCACTCTGAACTCCGGGCAAGGTAAACACGCACGCCTTGTCGGGACACGGGGGGTACAGCGCTTGGAAAAGAAAGACAGGAGAGACACCTTTGCTGTCTGCACCGCGTTACACTGCACTGCACTGCACTGTACGCACAATCTTTATTTTAGGATTCATATATAGTAAACCCGATCAATTCACAGAGCCCAGATAATTAAGTAGTGAAAAGGCATTCTTTGTGGCAAGCTACAACGTGACAGACTACAATGTTTATTCTAAAACTATCTAAGTGAAGTAAATAATCACAACCAGTTCTCACAACTTCTCTAGCCCAGGAAGAAATTCATTAGCTCAAGAATGTTGTTAATTTGTCTGCTGTTAGTGTCACAAAGGGTGGCCAGCCACTTCCTCAAGACTTCTGCAAAACAAAGCCAGCTCACAGTATGGATTCCAGAGGGTGAGGGCTCACTGAGAACAGGCATTCCCGTTCTACCTCCTTCTCGCATACCAGGGCGGCTATTGTAAATTGCAGGTTAGAGGGGGTTGGGCCTACAAAGTGACACCTCATCCCCCACATCCAGGTGCCTCCTACAAGGCTACCCCAGCTTGGAAGATGACAGACCTCATTTCTGTAGCACCTGCTGCTTTGGGAGCAACTTGGTATTTCATTCAGATGCCAGAAAGAGAGAGGATCTGGCAGCCCCAACGCAGGCAGCGAAGCCAGGTTGCTCAAGCCATTGGGTTCTGTTATCAAATATCCTGGAGACCATCCCTGTTCAGTTGACTGTGGTGAGAAAATTGATGACCGTGTGACTCACAACATCCAAAAGCTTCTCATAGCAGGAGACAACAGAAAATGTCAGGTTGCATTATCAGACCACCTTGACTAACAGAAAACACGGAACAGAGACCTTCATCTGAAAGTATTCAGGAGGCTTTGATTTTAAATTTTACTGAGACTCATTTATACTAGTTTTTGCTACAAGATGAATGGCTGATAAATTACATACTATTTGAAAATATTCAAAAGGCTCCAACCAGTTCACCAATTTGCTTACTGCTTAGATTAGTGACATTCAACGTAATAACAGAGTGTAGTCTAGCACCTGCCATCCAGAATTGACACTGGCCCGGGGTGGGGTGGGGGAATCTAGAGGCCCCCATGGCTCTATGACTGAACCTTCAGTTAAATTATTATTGGGAAGAGGGAGATGGGGAATTACCAACCAGTGGAAAGTCTCCTATTGAAACAAGAAATGCAATAGGGTACTTATGGTTAGACACCTAGGCCACTGTAAGATCTTAAGGGGACTAGAGACAGATCCAGCTAGAGCTGTGGAGAGGGCTGAATTCAATGCCAAGGTGGATGCTCTTCTCTCAGGAAAGAGTGCAGACCCACCAGCCTCAAGGACATTGCTCAGCAATCCTTCTTGCACCACTAAGTAGTCAACACACTTTGGGGAGTTCCAAATGGCCAGTGCTGTCCAGGAGGCTGCTGTTTTGATCAAAGCTGTGGTGTCTGCCCTACGGCACCTGGGAGTCAAGAAGGAAATTGGTAGGAAGGGCCGTGACCCCACACACCACAGAACCCACAGGAAGTCAGAGATCTTAGTGGAGCGCTGCCCTCTCAGAGAGCGTCGGGGACCTCTCCAAGTGTGTGCACCCCATCGCAGAGGCGAGCCTCCCCTTGGCTTCGCGTGGTGGCCTCGGAAAAGGAAGTCAACACCTGGAGATCAGAGGCCAAGGTGGTAGTGGGGTGGCACATCAAAGGGAGAGAAAGAGGCTGTGTTCTCCCGTGCTGCGCTCTTCTCCTTATTTTTGTGTTTTAGGTGGGCATGGTTTTTCTGGAGACTCATCCTGGCTGAATTGAGTTCCCCTGTTTTTCTGGCCTTGCTCGGGGTGGATTGGCTTGGAGTGGGAAGGCGCACCCCTGCGGCTTCGGAGGTGCATCTTCCCTGAGCAGAAGGAAGGAATCCAGCACCTCCTCCCGGCCGCCCCTGAGGGGCCTGGTCTGCCCCGAGGCTTTCCTGAGCGAGTCAGGCCCCAGGGATTTTTAAGGCTGGCTCTTGGCCAGGCACGGTGGGGACAGCGGCAGCCGATCCCCGGTTCCAGGCAGTGCGCGCGCAGGTCTGCCGCGGCTCACCCAGCTCCGCAGCAGCCGGGCTGGCAGCGCCGCGCTCGGCTCCTGGAACGCTTGGCCGCAAAGTCCGGAGAGCCAGGGCGCCTGCAGCCGCTCCGCTGGCCTAGACCGGGGAGGGGCGAGCGGGCGCGGGGCCGGGACTGGCGCTGGGCTGCAGGAGTCTTTCTCTGGGCACCCGCTCTCTGCGCTGCGCGCTCATGGGGGGCTGAGTGGCCTCGGACCTTGCCCACCAGCCGTGCTTTGCACCCCGCTCACTCCGGGGTGCGTCCAGCGTCAGAGAGGATCTGCTTGCTGGGGTCACCGGACGCCCTCGCCCTCTTTCCCCAGAGTTGTGGGGTTGAGCAGAGCCAACCCCAGCTGGGCGCCGCGCTCCTATAAATAGCGCGCGTGTGCCCGCTTCGCGCTCTCCCGGTGGCGCGAGCAGAGACAAAGTTGTGCGCGCGGACTGGGGAAGGAGAAGACCCGGGGAGCCCAGCCACCCGGCAAGGCGCCCTGGAACTGATCCCGCGAATCGGCGCTTTCCGTCCGGGGAACTCAGCAAACCGCTGCCCACCTACGCTGGAGTGACAACTGGCTTTGGCGAATTTTAGACCGAGCGGAGGAAGGAATATCGCGGGCTCCCTGGCCATGAACGCAGCCTAGCGTCTCCCCGGCCCGGGAAGCGCCTTGTGCCTGTGTAATACGCCCCAGTGCAAGCCTCGCTCGCGCAGGACCAACACCGCGCCGCTCGGCGCCCGGCAGCCTCGCGGCTCCTGCGAGAGTCCCCTGTCCTCGCTACTCCGTGGTTCACCCGGGGGTGCTTGGGTTGGGGGCGAGATTTGATTTTCCTTTTTCCCTTTGAGGCGCGATTGTGAGGTTTTGGCGACTTTTAGATGTCTAGGAACAAGGTGGCTGCAGGAGCCCCAGGCAGGGCTGCTTGTTGAAAGGGACCTGTGCGGGGCAAGGGTTCTGCATGAGCGCCTTAAAGGACAAAGGCGACAGAGCCAGCGAGAGAGCTCCAGGCGAGACTTTGACCCACGGAATTGGTGGAAGTGTGCGTGTCGCCTCCGCCGCCGCCGCGGCTGCTCCTGCAGCGCTGTCGATCTAGCAGCCACTGGCATCTTCTGCGCTCCGGGACCCCGGGGTAGGAGGCCACGCCGCCGGCGAGCACAGGCCCCAGCCCCAGCGGGTTGCGGCTGCCCACACCGCTCACCATGGGCTCCACGCGCCGGGCGCTGTCCGCGGTGCTGGCCGTTCTGCTGCTTCTCACGCTGCCCGGGCTGCCCGTCTGGGCGCAGAACGACACGGAGCCCATCGTCCTGGAGGGCAAATGTCTAGTGGTGTGCGACTCGAATCCGGCGACGGACTCCAAGGGCTCCTCTTCTTCCCCTCTGGGAATATCGGTCCGGGCGGCCAACTCCAAGGTGGCCTTTTCGGCGGTGAGGAGCACCAACCACGAGCCATCGGAGATGAGCAACAAGACGCGTATCATTTACTTCGATCAGGTCAGACTCGGGGGAATTCAGGGTACCAGGGGGTGGGCGGTCTCCGGGCGTCTCAGACCGGGGCTCCCTGCTCAGGTTAAGCTTGTCTGATTGGGATGCGAGGGATCATTTAGGCACAGGGTTCCCCAGATACATCAGAGTCAAAACTTCTGATTCCCCGCTCCCAACCCGGGCTCCATTCCCTGCTGGTCTCTGACAGAGGCTGCCTGCTTAGCGGTGGAGAGACTTGGGAGCGCAGACACGGGCAGCGAGGGCTCAGGACAAGTTTAGCAGCAACAGGTCAGCAGAAACGGAAGGGAGTCTGGGTCCTGGACACCGTGGATCTCTTGGCCAGAGCTTGGGCCCCTGGATTAGAGTCCTCTACAGGTGTGGCGAGGCTGTTCATGTGGTACCCTCAAAAAATGCAGGATAAATGTTGGATGTGTCTCTCCAGGTGGAGACTCCAAAGAGAGCTCTGGGGGTTCAGGCTCAGTGCAGAGATCCAGTAGGTGGCCTCAGAGGATGGAGAGGACAAATTTCATCTCCGGGTTCCAAGGCCAGGGTCCCCAAATGCATTCCGTGTGGGCCGGCTGCTGCAGAAAGCCAGTCTGCAGCACTCAGATAAAAGTTGCTTGACAGAAAGGAAAAGCATTGGGTAGCTCCGCAGAGCTCCCCCAGGAAAGCCCCGAGGAACTGGTTTCCCCTTCTTGGGCCCCATCCTTTCAGAGAATTGCAAATTGCTCCCAGCCACAGACTTGGAGCTGGAAGGTAGGGGATGGGGCAGGCGGGACTGATGAAAGCTGTGGTTGCTATTTAGCGACTCTGAGCTCTGCAGTTTGCCATGATGAGAAACCCCAGGACATGAGCTTAGCTTAGGAAATCGTCCTAGAGAAGAAAACTGACTTTAGAGTTTTAATTCCAACCCTCGCTGTACTTGGAGTCTTTTCAATTCTAAAGCCACAGTTCACAGCTGTGGGCAAAGAGCCAGGTGCAGGGGCTCAGGTCAAGCAGTACTGCAGGATGGATCAGAGGGGGAGTGGGGTGACATTCCTGTTCCTTTCTTAGTTTCCTTAAGTGATGAGCTCTGCAGCTGATCAAAGGCAGAGCGTGTCTCTCTGGTGGTTTTCTATTGGACAGCTATAATTTTAAATGAATTAAGTAACTCCTTTGGGATTTTGGTGCAGTATTTTCCACAGTGATGGAAATAAAGTTGGGGACTTGCTTGTAGTTCAAAGTCTTAATTAAATGCTGGAAAACTGGGCACTGCCCTATCATCTATGTGGGGTGTTCTTTTCAGTGACCTTCTTGTCAATTAGAAGAGGAGAAGGGTTTGTTTTTCTGTTTGGGAGCAATGCATCACAGAGACAAGAAAGCAGCTTTAGCTATACATCTTGATATACCTGGATGTTCCAATTATAATGTGGAGCCAACATCTAGCTGTACGTGTAGTCAACACTAATCAGCCGTTTCCACCATTGCTAATGAATTATGCCACTTGTATCTGAATCAGAAAGTCCCTGCTAACCACCTTAGATTATTTTAAATGTGCTTGAAAAAGAATCCTCTGCAAATGCCCTTTTGGGGATTACTGCACAGCTGGTGCCTGGGTTTTGAAAGACTATCCATCATCAGGTCAGAGGAATTTGATGTCTACCAGGAAGAAGGTGGAATCTGGACAAAACTGTACACATGCATGCATTTTAAGGCAAGTGTGGAGCCTGCTACATCTACCTGGTAGATGGTCAGAGGTAGCAGTATACTTTTAGGAAACTATACGAGAGATGTAAAAATGCATTAAGTTTGAGAAGAAGCCAGTGTTTGAAGAGATAGTAGCAGATCGTCACTGATGTAAAGGAAAGATATTCTTATAGGGATATCTGATTTTCTGGACACCATTTACAGATTTATTTCTTGAGAAGATGGGAAAGAAACTCTTGGCTTAGCACTCCCTTCTTCTCTCTCCCTGTTTCTTAGGGAGGGACTTGCCTATGTGATGTTGCAAATTTCAGCCTGAGAGGTCACTTAATCCAGAATTAATTTTATAACCTGAGAAAATAAGATGAACATCTTGGAATACAAACACAATGGTGCTTTCTTGGAAACAGCTCCTAATTTCAATCCTTGAACTTTAAATACTCAGCAGGTTATTGAAAGAGGATAATGCATAATACTGAGAGGATACTAAAAGGCTCCTTGTTTCACTGTCATGCTTCACCCTTTGGCAGCTAGCAAGGGCTAACTCACTGCCAAAATATTACAATTAGGTTTAGGTGATACAGAAATAAAACCCATGGTCTCGGATCTTAGTGGAGCACTGGCAGTTCAGAGAAGGGCAAGGTCTCATGTCACTCTGTGCACCGACTGCTGTGTGTCACTGATCGTGTTACACAGTGGAGAGGGTATCCAGGCCTCGGTGTGCTGTGACCAGGGATGACTGTGGAGAGCCACGGATGTTGGTTGGCTGGCTGGGCAACGTCACGTCTGGACATTTGGAAGGCTTGTGAACAGTGGGAATATAAACTCATGGCTGGTGCCTTTTATCTGATTCTCAGGCAAAGAGAGTCTGACGAGCCTCTACATGCCACCTACATATTTCCAAAGTCCCTGGGCCTTGCTGGAAATTGAGGCATGAACACAGAGCAGTTATTTTTGCTTCTCCAATACCGCTTAAAAGATGGAAGGATCTTTCCATAGACAAATCCACTTTCCAAGTCATTTAAGAGGAAAGGAGTAGAATTAGATGTTTTATTCTGAATGGTTTCTGCAGGTAGTTGTTGAGGAAGGAAGGAAGGAAAGAGGAGAGGGAAAAGGAAAATTATTTTACTTACAGAAGAAAATGCTGTCGTGATTTACTGTTATTTATTGTCCTTATTTGTAGATCCTAGTTAATGTGGGCAATTTCTTCACATTAGAATCTGTGTTTGTAGCACCGCGGAAAGGAATCTACAGCTTCAGTTTTCATGTAATTAAAGTCTACCAGAGTCAAACAATCCAGGTATGTGCTTTGACCTGCTGTGTCTCTGCTCCCGAACAACTGTGCTTGTGTTTAATGGATTATATACTTAAGTGTTTATTCCAAGATGCATTTTCATTATGAAAATAAATGGTTCTCCTTATAGTCTGTTTGAAAACATTTAATTCTCAGTTTTCTTCTCTCTATCATCCATGAAGGTGTGTGATCAAAAGCATGGAAAAAATAAACAGTTGCACTTATTACATGTACAACAACCAGACATATAAAAAAACATAGTTTGATAGAAATTTCCTGACATAAGTCTCTTCCTATGATATGGATTTCATTTAATGCATGTACAAAAATTACTTGTGCTTAAAAAGAAAAAGTATCATAAAACTAGCAGTGTTTTACAAGTGCATATTAAATAAAAATTACTATCATTTCAAATTATAAGATATACTTAACTATTAAACATATGAAAGAACATCTGTCCACTGTACCTTCTGGAAAGGGTGTGTTTGCTTATGCTCTTTGAGTGTGGTCGATTCTTACCAATTGCAGTTATGTATTCAACAGTACATTGTTTTTTTCACCTTCTATGATAATGAGCTTGACTTGTAACTCAAAGGCAATAGCTAAGCTATTTCCTATAACATCCAAATATACTAATACCAAACAATGCTCATATGTGTCCATGGAACCCTAGGATAACAATTTATGCTTAGTATTTATAGCACATGGTATGTTCACATGAATGGTAGGTTACCCACCTTTCTACCACTGTTACACATCCTAGAGTGGATAAGTTGATCAATCTCAGATTTAACTTATTTCATATTACCTTTAACCTAAAACAAGTGAGTGTTAGTAAACAAATTTGTTTCCAGTCAGAAATTTCTCCAAGCTCCAATATTTGCACGTATATGTAATGTTTGCCATAGTGTGATGGGAATTATAGTTTAGAGAAAAGGTAATAAAATTTTGAGTTGATTCTTTTGCTAATTTTCATCATTAAGATCTCTAATAATACTGGTGAATATTTTTAATGCAAATCTCTGACCAGAAAAAGCAGTGAAAAATTAATCTGCATATACTTATGCACATTTATTTCAAATTATTTTCTTTGCTATGCCAGTTATGGGTGCAATACCTGAAAGGGTATTGGCACAGTCTGTGTGTATCTGAGTTTATCAGGTCAGTGGGCCCTGGGAAGCCCACTTCATTACCAAAGGGTTGTTGTTGAGTGTAAGAATACATAAGTATTATCTTAGTTTGTATGCTGAAGGGAAACCAGCTTTCACATCACTAGGTTGCTCTCTAGATATTAATGTTTATAGTAGGCATTGAAGAAAATTAATACAAGAAAAACTAAGAAAAAAACTCAACTCAGCAGATAGTGCCTTAAGTTTGACCCCCACCCCCAGGCTAGCTACATTTTTTAAAAGGAAAGGGATGTTTTACTAGGACTCTACCCTCTTAGACATTATTTATGATGCCTAGTATGGGCTTTAGCTTTAAAGGGAGCTTTTCAATGATTTTATTTTTTTTTCTAGGTTAACTTGATGTTAAATGGAAAACCAGTAATATCTGCATTTGCTGGGGACAAAGATGTCACACGTGAAGCTGCCACGAATGGAGTCCTGCTCTACCTGGACAAAGAGGATAAGGTTTACCTAAAACTTGAGAAAGGTAACTTGGTTGGAGGCTGGCAGTATTCCACATTCTCCGGCTTTCTGGTGTTCCCCCTATAGAATCTGATTTCCTGCGAGGTTTATCCAGGTGAGGGGAAAACCACCCCTGAGTTATCGGAAGATCATGTTTTCATCATTGGATTGATGTCCTTTATTGGTTTCTCATGGGTGAATATGGACTCTCTTTAAGGATTCTAGACCTGTCTGAACCAACACGAAGTTTTACAGATTATTTTCATGTGCACATTTCGGTGTATTTGGATTGGAACTCAAAGCAGATAATACCTATCTATGCTTAAATGTAACAATCAAAAGTTGTCTCAAGGTTTGTTCTGGATTTAATTTCTTGGAATTACTAAATTTGTTGCAGATGTGGACTTGGTTTATTTGTTTCCTAAAAACCTGGCAAATGAGTCTGAGAATCAGAAAACTGAAGTTCTGACTTCAATCAGTGGTTAGTGTGACACTGCCAAAGAACTGTGTGAATATATTGGTTACACTTGTTTTTATTGCTTTGGAATTAGTTTGTTTTGTTCTCTTAATGCAGCTGGGAATTGTTTCTCAGTGGCTGGCATTATGTTTTCTCTATAAATAAGGTAATGAATGGCTTGTCTGGAAATTTACCTTGACTGTGAGATTACCGACACGACTTCCCTAAAATGAGAGAGCAGGAAGAATACTTCATAGTTGTATTTTAATTATCTATGTGAAAGAGTCATATTTTCCAAATTATATTTTCTAATAGGAAAAATAGATCATAAGTCTGACAAGGAAAAAAGTTGCTTACCCGAATTTTAAGTGCTCCATCCCCAAACCTTGGCAAAGCTTCTCTCCTCCCCAGAAAAGCTTATACTTTATTGCTCAACTTTAATTAACATGATTGATAATGACCACTATATTAAAAAGCTAAGGGATTTTTTTTCCCTTAGACGTGATCACTTTATTAACTGCCGATGGGATACCCTGGTTTTTAATTATATCTATTTTTCAAGCCTTTTGTTGTGTTTTAAGCATCATCTGGTTTTGCCTTAACTCTTTAAGTTGTATATATTTATCTGTTTAACTAATATTAAGTCCAAATATCCCATATCTAAATTTAGTGCAATATCTTATTTTGTCTTTTGTATAGATCATATGAATTCATAAAATTATTTATGTCTCTGTTATAGAATAAATATTAATATATGTTAGTTGAATTGTTTTGTGCTTTCAGTTTTGGAAATCTGTGTCCTGAATGAGTTATTTTCTCTTACTCTCTCTCCCTCCTACCATTCCTTCCTTTCTTCTTTCTTTCCTCCTTTCCTTCCTCTTGTTTCTTACTTTCTGGAGTTTAAGAAAACCTTTTGAATTTCCAGGTAATGTCCTCTGACTTGGTATAGGAAATCTTTACAGTGTTTAATCTGTCCCAATCCAGGAATTGCAATCTTGCCAAAAGAGAATCAATGAACTCTGTAAACCTTTCTTTTGCTTACTGTAAGGAACTAGGTTTACAAAGATCCCATAAAATATCACGAGAGTGCTTAATGTGTGAGTGACTGCTCATGAGTATAAAGACCAATGTTTTCAACCTAAGACTTGGTGAAACCTTCCGTCCTGTTTTTCACATCAAAATACAGAAGATCATAGGCATCTTTTAAGGAGGAGCTGTTACTGCATGTGTGTTGCCTGGGGACTTTGGCTCTACTTGTGAGCTGTAGTCAGTTAAAGCACTTGGGGGCAGGGCAAGGGCCTTTTCTTAGCTAGTGAGAGTGAGGCAAACATTACAAGTTTACCCACACCAGTGTGACTTTCAGTGTGATAGTGATTAATCTTCAAATCAAAATGTTCACCTACCTGCAGGAAGAACTCTTTCCTTTCCCCAGAAAACATTATCTGGAGATGTTGGCAACAGATCTTTGATGGAGGTCATCTCCAATTGACTTTCAATCAATGATTCTATTTTTTAATATAAAAAAACCCCAGTATTACACAGAGAGACAATAAAAAAGATGTTTCTCCATAAATTTACGTGCTAGATGCATCTGTACAGGTCTCTATACCCAGAATTTGTGTCCTTACATCTCTCCAGGGTGAATCATACTGAAATAAATCTATTTGTCATTGATTTGGCCAGATGTCATACGACTATTGTAATTACCAATTGACACTTATGATTGACCAGAGAAAATATCAAAAGATTCCAACTTAGAAGTACCTTTCATAAATGTGCTGTGACAGTCTTTTGGGGCCTGTCTTTATTTTTTTTTGATTCTTCTGAACATAGAAGAACACTGGCAACATGCTTGGCTTTGAGTACACATGTACACATTTTATAAGACAAATGTCCCTTTGAAAGTTTTGCCAGAAAGTCTATCTGAAAAGGCATCAAGTCTGTGGCTATCCAGGGTAGAAGGTGGCCTGTGACATGGGTCTCAAGTGGAGAGATGAGGCAAGACAGCCTAAGATGCTCATCCCACTCTAGGAAGTAAGAGCTGCCATGAGCAAACTGGCCAGAAAGATAAAGAGTGATGAGAGAGAAAAAGCAACAGGACAGAGTGCCCTGGCCAGCAGAGCTTGGATTTTGGATGGATGTAGGTTGGCGTCCTGCAGTCTATATTCCCCACTCTGTAACCCTTGGGCAGGTTCTATCACCTCTCTGAGCTTTAATTAGTTTTTTTTCTACACAAGCAAAAGTTGGTTGTGGGGATTAAATAAAGCACTGAGGTGCTTGGAGCATAGCAGGAATTCAACCAAGAGCTTCTGTGATTACTAAAACCAAAAGCCCTGACACAGACAAAGCGGCAAATGGGGCTGCAGGAGGAGACTCAGATGGACAGGAGGCTGGGAGGGAAGTGGAGATGGAGTGAGCTGGGGCGGAGAGATTGCGATGTTAGGGGTTTTCTCAGAAATGAAGCCTGATGCTCCCCGTGTATACTATGACTCAAAAATTGTTTTTAAAAATCGCTGGGTCCACAAAAATGCTAATCGAACACAGGAATTGCATTGGTGCTGTCTGCATTCGTCAGTGCCAGAGCCCCTTTCTGGATGGTTCCAACTCCTCTGACTGCTTCTTTATCTATTGATCTGCAATCGCTAGCAATTCTCTGCAGCAAGCAGTTTGCTCCTGACAGGCACCCGTGCAAACAGGACGCAGGAAACCGCGTGTGCGCAGAATCTCACTGAGCCTAATTGCCTGTGGGGTGTTCCCTGTGATCCCACAATCGGGGGGACTGTGATTACTTAATTATATTTTAAAAAATTCTTAAAAATTTTTTTTTCCGAGTTAAGTTTGTGTTCTCCCTGTTCATTTAGTTTCTGGAAACCTGGATAACTTCCTGTTTTCTCTTAGTTTCTCCCTGTTAGCAAGTTATTGTTCAAATGTTGAAATACACATCTTCGGCTAACTTCAGCTAAAGGATCCTCATAATGGGTTCTGCACATCACAAGATGCTGGGTCTGCATGAGTGGTGACCTCTCCCTTTTCCAGCTCTCCCTAATTGTCCAACAAAGCTAGATTCTTCACAAGAAGCGATGGCTGTCTACAGGTTTGGGCCTGCCCTGCCTTCTGAATGAGGGCACTGAGCTTTATCGGTCTACTTGGACTCCATATCTCACCTGTTCCCGAGCAGTGGGAGTCTCCAGATGGGTTGACCTCATGGTCATGAGATGTAATGAGAGCAGAATCAAGTGACAGCTGCCCACATTCGAGACTTTGGAGTTAGCAACTTGGATTCTTATCCTAAATGATTATTGTTTTGGTAGCAAGAGGGTGGGGATTAAGGAGAAGCCTTCTAAGTAGTTGGTTGCCCTTTCTTTGATACAGGCTTGCTGTTCAGGCAAATTTCAGATATCTTAGAACAAAAGTGGTAATTTTGCTCTTAGCACCTTTCAGATAGAAAACAACAACTTCTTTTAGACTCTGACCCTGAAGTTCTATTGTTCTTAACCAAATGTGTGTGCAAATCACCTGGGAATCTTACATTGCCTGTCTGTCCAGCTCCTGGCTCCATGGATGCTGCTGGCTACATCTTGGCTACTTGAGGTGCAGTCTCTGTTCCCCCAGCATTTGTGTCTATGGTAGAGTTTGCTGGGATCTCCTGTTGTAGTCAAGACTCACTCCAAACCTACCAACTTGGAGTCTGCATTTTAACATTGTTTCCTGCCCCTCTCATGTTTTTAGGTATCATTAAGTTTCATGAAGGCTTATCTTGAATTCAGTTCCAATGATCAGCTGCATAGGAATGGCCTGGGCTGAGCTTTTGGCACCCACAGTCTAGTAGTCTCCAGGGACCCTCACCACCACAGCCATGCAGCCGTTGGCCTCGCGGGGAGTAGCCCTGGGAGTCAAGATGTGAGTCTTCTTTGACCCTAGAGATGCAAAGCTCTCCGCCAGAAGCCTGCACTCAGGTCGGTGTGACACCCTCATTCTGGGCTCAGGGAATCTCCCTGTGTGCAGGTGGCACACACTGCGGAAAGACTTGGCCTCCAGGAGAGATGTGAGTATCCTGGCCTGAAAGCAAAGGTAAGTCAACCAAGCAGTGACCATCCAGTGAAGGAGGCCAGGCCTGGGACACTCCTCCTCATCCCCTCAGCCTCCATTTGCACAGTGGATGGAGTTACTTTTTGCTTTTGTTTTTAACTAAAATATATTTTAGGTCCAATGGTTGATACTTATGAAAATATGTTAGTGCATCCATGGAATTCAGGAGGTCTTTATTTCCTATGCAGCTACATTGAGAATATAAATTTATAAGAGAGACTCATACATTTCTAAGAATTTCTGGGAATTTTGAGGAAATCCTAGCAGCCAGTGGTCTGGCCGTTGTCAGCGAAGCGGAGAGATTTCCACAAATACCCATTCTTCCCTCACAATTTGGGAGGACAGAAGCTAGCTTGTCTATTTCTCCTCCTCTGTGCTGTTTTTCTATTTTTGTCATGCTTAAGCTTCGACATCAAAAGGTAATCAATAAGAGGAAGAACATGCCGGAAAACTAACGCGGGCTGGTTATCTATTTGCACATTACTATTTTTAATCTTCATGAACAAAGAAAACAAAAATGGTTTGCCATGACCTGTCCATCCTGTAGAATCTCTTTGCTGCTGTCTTTCAGAAGTCCCAGAAAGGGAGGGAGAGAAAAGCAGGAATTAAGCAGGGGTCCCTTTGGGGCAGGAAGACAGTGGGGCCTGTGTGGCCAGTGTTAGAGAGCGGTGAGTCAGGGCCATGTTGAGTGTGCACGCGTGTGTGTGTGTGTGTGTGTACATGACCATCTAGTGACAAGGTTGTCTGTTCTGGGTCAGATGTCATCACACAGAAAAGCGGGCTGTCGCCATTGGCCAAGCAGCTTAGGGAATGAATCTGTATCAAGTGCTTAGGTCAGAAAATATCTCCTGGCCCTAAATATATATAATCTTCAACCCAGTGCTTTTGCTGCTACTGGGTCACCTGGACCATTGCCCTATTTAATCAGTAACAACAGCCAGCCTGAGCGATTCTGTTCTCAACGTGGAGTGAAGAGGTTTTAATTATTTTCTGTTTTCCTTTGTGACGTACATAGGCATGTTTTTTTCTGAGTTCTTTATTCTTACCTGTTTAAAAATATATAAACCATCACCAGTGTTTCTTTGAAAATAATTTCACTTTTATTCTTCATGTTAGCATTAGAGCACAGTGGAAAACAGTGATGATTTCCCCCCAAGTTAATCAAAAGTGAGGAACGGATGCTTGACATAACAAGCGTTCAATCCTAAAGGCAGTGTTCGTGCATTAAACGCAACCCCACACGGAGGACTAGGGAGAAGCTGCCTGATAGAGTTGTGATAGCTCTGTGAGGATGGAATGGAAGCCTGAAAGCCGTTGTGGTTTGCTTCAAGCGTCTTTTCCTTCTGTTTTCTTTCCGGGTAGTAAGGTCAGCTCTTCCCAGGCTAAAGGCTGCTGCTCACTGGCTCGGATCTCAGCTCCTCTTCCCCAGGATGACTTTGCAAACCCCGGGCGGCATCAGAAAGTGCACTGGATTCTGCCCTTCCGGGTCTGGGCCAAGCTGATTGGAAGGAGAAACACTGCTGAAATGGCCTGTAACTCCTCTCCAGGGATAGAGAAGCCCCACGCTTCAGTATTTCAGGGAAGCTGTTGGCAGGCTTGGAAGGAAGCCACGACTTGCTCCGTCTGTCCTCGGAGAGATGCTCAGAGGGGGAGATCTGGAGAGGGTGGGAGGTTTGG